TTCTGCTCTCTCTCTCTCTCTCTCTCTCTCTCTCTCTCTCTCTCTCTCTCTCAGAGAGAAGCTCGTTCAAACCAATTTTCTGCTACCACTGCGCATATGTACAAATAGGGCACTCAAAGGAATTTTTCCTACATATCCCTCAATATAATAATACTGAAAAGCTGGAATCCTGACGTTATTGAAGTATATTGAGATAAGGCTACATGACAATCACTACTACAGTCAGGTTGACATTTAAGGGGGCAGGAAATCTGTTGTATTTGTGTCCAGACACTGACAACCCATCTCATTTGGTGCACTCCAACGAGTCATTCGGACACAGGAACCCTTGAACTGACCTCCACAAACCTATAAGAACAGTAACCTACCCAGAGGCGCTTTTTATCTTTCAGACATGACGTAATATGAATGAAAAATTTCGCGTTCCAGGTACCTGCATGGACAAGGAAGAAGACAAGTGGAGCACCAGATCAATTGATTTATTGTCCTGAGCTTTCGAACTCTTACAGGAGTCCATCTCCAGACGTACGTAATAGTGTGAACCCACAGACTGACCTCGCCAGCAGTCACTCATAGTTTGCAAAGCCGTCAAGCATTGTGTACAGAAAAAGCCCTCTAGTTCTGATGTCTTTCATCCTTACCTGCTAATTGGAACAGGTCCCAATGACTGGGTGGTTGAGGCACACAAATTACATCTCCGTTGCAGTACATTTGAAGTCCTCATCTAGAGGCATGACCTTGTGCGACGTTAAGTCAAACTGAGAAAGTTTTCCACTGCTCAGAAAGACAAGGACCAAAGAGTCCACTTCACTGTTCAAGAGTTCAAACGTGATCGTGATATTTGGGCCGTTTTAGTAAGACGTCTGTTAAAGTTTAGATACCATGCCGCATTCCCGTCCGCTTCGCAGATGTGCAAGGCTTCTAGCATGTAATATTTCATAATTTTTGCTACGCGTTTATCTAAAGTCCCGAAATTGCCTCTAAAAACCATAACGATTCCACCGAAACCTTATTTTCGACCTAGTGACTAGTTAAAGGCACCTGCATTGCGTAAACGAAAGAAGCAGAAAGTCTTCAGCCTGCAGTTGCAGAATTTTAGCATGATACTTCTTCCTGTTATTTAACAGCCGAAAAAAATTAAGTATCGAGGCAGCTGAGTTGTTCACAATGGGGTCAAATGAATGTAAACATAGTTCAATTTATTAACAATGAGGAAAATACTTACCTGATAAGGGATCTTCATATTTTGGAATTGATCCGACTCGACAGCAGCAACCATAGTGCTAAGATGGTACGAAAGTATTGAAATCGAAACAGGAAAAGCAGGTGTAATGCAGCCGAAGTGCAGCGGAGCTTGCACAAGTTGAGAGTGAGTTTGTTACACAACAGTCCCTTAGACAACAATTAGACTGGCTGCACGTCCTTCAGAAACCGGATTGACCCTCTCCGGGTGACCGTGTACGTTAATTCTATTGTGCGGTCACCCTACCAACGTTTGCGTGAACTGGCGAGCACCTATTCTTGTACGGGTACTAGTAAAGTTCATTTTCGGTTCTTGTCTCATTCTTCAACGTCTCAGCACACTCTTCAGGTTGAACAGCCATTCGCGCTTCCCACTACAGTTGACGCAATTGCATGACAATTTTTCTTGCATTCAGTAATTTGTCGTGTTTGTTTATTCGCACAAAAGGATGACGTCCTTCATATTACAGGAAACTGCGTTCTGTCGAAGAAAACGAAAATTTGCTATGATGTTGGGACTCAGCCTTCAGGAGCGAGGTGTTTTACTTATCCTCTCACCATACTGTAGAGAAGATTTTTGCCAAAATTTTTCGTTAAGATTGAAGGCCCCATTCCCCTCTTCAATTGGAATAACCAGATCCTGATTCCCTGGTTAGGCCGTAACTTT